TAGTAAGAGAATATACAGAATATATATAAAACAAGTGATGCACAATGCAATTGCTCACCACCCACTGACCGGTGCCCAGCCCGTCCCGAGCCGCGATCACTCCCCCCGAGCCGCGATCACACAGCTCGAGCTGCGACCACTTTGCCCGCGACCGACCGAACGGAACGAACCGGACCAAACGAACTAACCCCCCCGAGCATGACGTTATATGGTATGGAATAGCCCTTTGGTCAGTTTGGGTTAGCTGTGCTAGCTGTGCTCCCTCCCAGTTTGTTATGCACCTGGGCGAGCAGGAGAAGCTCAAAAAGTCCTTGAGTAGTCTGAGCACTACTTGGCAACAGCTGAAAACATCAGTGTGTTATCAACATTCTTCTGGTACTAAATCCAAAACACAGCACTATGCTAGCTACTGTGAAGAAAATTAACTCTATCCCAGCCGAAACCAGGACACCACCCCCTCTTCATCCCCACTGCCTCAAGACCTACCTCTTCCATACAGCTGGGGCAGAGCTGGGCTTAGGTTGCAGTGCAGGTGATGGAGCATTCTGGGCTGGCCTTGTGCTTTACTGAGCACACAGCGGTACCCACGCATACAGGCATACTCATGGCTTGTCTGAAATGACTCTTATGACCACAAACCGCTGCAAGGAGGGAAGATGCCACCACAGGCCACAGGGGGACTAGGTGTGCCCAGCTTGAACCACCACACCCAGCAACTGCTCTGTGCTTTCTTCTCTCCTGCTGCAGGTTTTTAAAATCTAAAAGTCTGGAAAAGCCCTACTGGCGGCTGTACAGAAAAAAAACTGCTGCTGACTGCCCTCCATCTCTGTGACCAGGTAAGGGCACAATGATTCTTGTGCACAGCACTGTCTGGAAAGGGGGACAGGATAACAGGGCAGAGCAGGGGTGGCTCCAACCCTGCCTACCATCTGCCTTGAGGGTATATGGGTTCTTAGCTGTGGAGGAGCAGACTGAAGACAAGAGAAACAGCCCTAAAATAGTTCACATAGAGGTTGTGAAGCCTGGTGTGGCCTGAGAGCCATCCTGCCTCCCAGGGAGGCAGTGAGAGGACAGCAGGCTCTGGAGCCAGGGCTCATAGTCTGGTCCTTCTGGACCCCCATGCAGGGTCACCCAGAGGAGCCCTGACTGGCATCCCTGTCCTGTGCTCCCTCCCTGTTTGGGAAGTGTCCTGTATTTCACTTAGCTCGCTCTGTCCTTGGTACCTCTCCCCAGTGAGCCCTCTGTCTTTCCCAGGTGAGTGCCTATGGCTACATCACAGAGGGTCATGAGAAGTACTCGGATCACTACTACGACAAGGACTGGAAACGTCTGATTTTCTACATTAACCACGACTTCAACCTGGAGAAGCAGGTGTGGAAAAAGCTCCATGATGAGAATATCATGAAGCTTTACCAGAGATCCTGATTGTATGGCAAGGGCCATTGCCTGGGAAATCTCAACACCACCTCACTGGGAACTGAAAAGGACCACCAGCACCAAGGTTAGCTCTGGACTTCCAGGCACATTTCGTCCCCACAAAGACATTTCCCTTCTTCAGCACCTCTGTTCTCTCTGTTTCTACAAATGTGCAAATGCTACAGACCAGGAGAAGAACAGCAAGATAATGCAGGATACCAACAAAGAAGTCCCATCTGGCTATGCTGCAAGACTGTTGCTGAAGGTTGTAGGTACTGGTATTGGGAGAGAAGAATCCAGGACGGTTCTGGCTAGCATATGCTCTAGTCTCTTGCATCTTCATCCAGGTGTTCTCCCTTTTCAAGGAGATGCTTCTCAGGCCTGGGGCTACTTCTGTTCCGGGTGGATTGTCTCCATTAGTGGTACCTATCTTGGAGTTGGGTTTATTGTCTAAGCAAGCTCCCTTGGCAGCCAGTGGGTGGAGGTGGGCACACAGATCCTGTCTCAGGTTGACTTAATTCCTGGAGGTGCTGCTCTCACTTTGCTCCCTGCAGATAAAAAGGATGGACTGGACACTTCCAGGTGGCTAATTTGGGAGAGGATGAGTCTCATTTCTGCTTCCCAGTGTGGCATTGTCATGACACCTCTGAAGGAGCACCACATCTGCTCAAGGGCAGGTAAATGCTCTCCATGGTGCAGCAAGCATGCCAGACTTGGTGTCTCTTGCTCTGGGGCTCCCCTGGCTGCAGGACATGTGAATGTTGTGTCATGGTTCTGGCGTGCCAAGTCCTTGCTTAGCTGGGCTTTGGCACGCTTGGCTCCCAGCTGTGCCAGGAGCACTGTGTTTACCCTCTTGCCAGGGGAGGTAGGAGCTCTCCAAGTCTAGGGATGGATACTATCCATCCTTGCTGCTGGCTGGTGTGCCTGTCCCCCATTGTGCTGAGAGGAGCCCGGTTGCAGCCAGCAAGCCTGCAGCGTATTGGCTTTCTGAAAGGGGTTTTGCAAGCAAAATAAATGGCATTATTTTGGCCAAGCTGATGTTTCATTGCAGCCCTGTGGGTTGTGCTTATTTAGCGTGCGTCCAAAGCAGTTGCTTAAAGGCTGAGATGGCAGATAATGAAGCCAGGAGAGGGCAGATCTGACTGTTAATGAGAATACCTTCACCTGCAGGTGTTCCGTAGCTTGTGTGAGCATACCTGCACATCCCCCGCTTGTTCACCTTGCTATTGCAGGATGGGGATCAGAGCTGGCCAAATGCCTCCCTGAGGAAGTGGGTAAACACCTGGCGAGTTTGTCCTTATCCCAGAAACTGCTCTCCAAGTATATCACGTGCTGAAGACAAATTCGTGAAGGGCTGGATGTTTTCCCCATGACACCATGCAGGTGAAAAGCCACTTCCAGTGTCCAGACAGGTCCAGTGCATCTCCCTGGGCTCATCAGGCTCTGGACTGGGGCCCAGCTGCACACTGACTGGTCCCAGTGGACCTGCGCTGGCTGCATGTGGTTTTCTTTTTGTGCAGCATTTCTGTTGGGGGCAGCGGTGTCTCCAGGGACCCCCGGGGCTCTGAGGGAGGCATTTCAGCGCAGATTGTCAGCAGGGCTTGTCAGGCCTGATTTCCTTTGTCCCTTTTTGCCTTGTGCTGCAGAGGCCAGTTTCTCATGTCTTGGAAAGCTTGTTCACAAAGGACAGCTCCCCACATAGATAATCTAAATGAAGAATTATCTAGGAGAGGGCATAGCCTGCATTGGCTGCTCTGCCCACACAAACCCCGCAGTGTCTGTGGGAGCGGGGAGTTATCTGGAATGCACTGTGCCTCTGTTGGGAATGATGTATGTAGCCCCATGTGAACACCAGACCCAAGGGGAGCCATGGGCTTTGGAGCAGACCAGAAATCCTTCCTGAGCAGCAACTGGCCTCCCTGTGAAGGGGGAACCCAATGGAGGCTAGTCACCCTCCAGAGCTGACTGCAGACAAACTCCTGCAGCACCCAGGAGCTCTGGATCTCACTGGGTGTCTCAGTCCCTCATGGTGGCTGTGCATGGCTGGTGTCCCTGTCCCAAGACCTTGCAGGCTCTCCCTGCTCAGCATTTGCCTGGCTGGGCTCTGGGTGGCCAACGAGGCAGCTTTGTTCCTTGCCCTTGCGTCGGGCCATGCCGAATTGCTGTGGGTTGCTTAGTGACCAGCTCCACACGCGTATTCTTCCTGCCTGAATAGGGCTTTTCTCTTCCAGAGAAGTTGGAAGAAGTTTCTCTTAGACCCTTCCCTTCCCCCTCCTCCTCTTTTGTTTGCCTCTGCTCTGAGAAGTGGGATGGGGCTGAGTCCTGCTGAGTGAGGGGACCATGGTGGGTAAGGAGGCTTTGGGGATGGTCTGGTGGCCCCCGGCTCGCGCTTTCCCCTGGTGCCCAGCTCCTCTCTGCAGCTGAGGCTCCCCGGAGTCAAGGGAATGAAAATTCCTGGGAGGCTTTCTCTACCAGCAAAGACTGTTCCCTCCAGGCTCTCCTATCAGCACAGCTGGCATAGTTTGGTGTTATCAGGGATAATCTTGGCTGGAGAAAGCCCCTTGCTGTGGTCTGGAGATTCCCAGCAAGCTCCTCTCTCGCCCCAGAAAAGCATCTCTGACCTGATGATCCCCTTTGCTGCCTCACTTTGCTTCTGGCCACCCTGCAGCAAGGTGCCCCATCCCACCGTGGGCTGGCCGAGGTGCAGCACACATGGGGACATGTCGTGTGGAGCACAAGTCCAGCTTCGTCTCACCAGAGCCACTTGACCTTGCGGCATCAGGTCCAGAGCAGCCACAGGAAGTCGAGGGGGTTTGGAGGTGGCATTTGCCTGGCACAAACTGGTGTAGCTGCCCTCCAAAGGTTTTGCTGCAGCCAGAGCACCCTTGGCAAGAGCCAGGATTCAGGGCTTGGGTGAGTTCCCCACCTGGATGTGTGTTCCAGGGTGAAAGTGGAAATGCCAGGCTGTGCCAGTGCGGCCCCAGCCTCCCAGTGTAGCTGAACAGTTGGTGCCATGGTGCAGGGCCACCCCAAATGTCACCATCCAGGTCCTCATGGCTGGTAGGCCAGCAGGATTGTCCCAGTGCCACCAGGTGGCAGCTCCTGTTCAGGGACCTGTCTGGCACATCCAGGTTTGGCCCAGGCCATGTCAGTGCCAATGCACAGCCCTGCAGCTGCCCACACTACATCAGACTGTTGTCCCCCAGTGTCCTTTGCTTTATAACGCTCACCTGCCTGTAGGGTTTGTGGCCCGGGAGCTCCTTGGGGTGTGTAAGGACACGTAGGAGAGGTTTGGTACCTGCGAGTGCCACTCTTGCAGCTGCAAAGTGCGTGTGAAGGTGCAGCCTCAGCTTGCGCAATGTGCCCTGGTGCTGAAGGCAGCACAAGCGGAGGAACCAACAGCGGGATCGGGTCTGACGTCCGGAGAGATGCCTCAGACACAGCGATTCCTCCTCATGCACAGACACAATACCCAGTGTCAGCAACCAGCAGTGTCTTTCCCTGCTGCCAGCCAGGAGCTCCAGGGTCTGCCGGATTTAAACAAGAGATGTCTGATTTGGGGAAGAAATACACAACTGTGCTTCAGCATGTCCAGAAGCTGCTGTAGTGTCAGTCCTGCTTTTTTGTCAAGCTGTCAGTGAGTACAATGAGCTGTTAGTACAGCCGTGCCCAGCTCCTCCCTGGATTCTCCAGAAGTTAACAGCATCTAGATATGCCCATCTGGGCTGCGAGAGGCAAATCTACTTGTCACCCAGGAGCTCTCACGGTGTTGCGTTCCTGGCAGGGCTTTGAATCTTTTGTTTGGTTTCCATCTCTGACCTTTTTATAGTGTGACTGCTTGCCTGCCTAGCAGAAGCAGGGACTGTGTCCTGCTGCGTGTTGGCAGGCACGTAGCTCTGCAACTGGGGCTGGGGAGGAAGTGGACGGGGACTTGCTGGGCTGGGGGACAGGGATACGCCTTGGGGACAAGTGGGGGGTGCGGAGCCTGAAAGGCAGGGTTGGGCTGACCAGGAATGGGGATGAGATGGGCTCTGCACCGTGTCCTGGAGCGCCTGCTAATGCTGGCAGCCAAGACCAAACCCAACCAGGTGCTGGAGGGAGCCACTCTAAGTGCTGCTCCAAGGCAGCCTCGTGCCACGGTGGCACATCCAGATTGACACTCCTGTCTCTATTCTTCCCAGGCAAGAAACTGAAGCACAGAGCAGCTGGAGCTGGACACCAGCGCCTGGCTTCCCAGCACAGAGTGTGTGCTTCCTCCAAATGTGTCTCTCTCGAGCAGTTGTAGCTGACCGGGTGTTGTGGGAGTGTAGCAGAGGCATGTGCTTGCTCCAGGTCAGCACAAAAACCCCTGTGCTGGTGACGTGTCAGATGCTATTTATGTTTCCCAATGCAGAGAGGTTGGGGCAGGCTGTTGACGTGCAGGGGTGGGGGGTTCACCCTCCTCACCTCCACTGCGTGGACTTTCTCCCTTTGTTGGGGATGTGGAAGGGAGGAAATCCGGTCAGACCAGAAAAACTATTGATAATAGGGGAGGGAGAACACGATAAAGTAACAGCCCATGGCTTTGTTGTGTAAAAAACGACAGATGACTTGCAAGCACCTCCCCCTGCAGTGAGCCCTCATCTCCAGGAGCTGAGGCAGGACCCTGCAGGCAATCAGCTCCTGGGGGTGCAGCAGCCCCTGCTTCCCACCAAGGGGCTCTGGAAGTCCAGGCTCCCCTGCCAGGCTGAGCAGGAGGACCCTGAGTGCTGCAGGGCCTGACTTAGCCCTTGGCGTGGTAAATCCTGGAAAGACACTTGCTGGGTCCTGAGGACATCCCAAGGCTCCCTCCATCCCTCCCATGGTAGCCATGCAGCATCAGGTGGGGCCGCACAGCAGGGCAAGGGGCTGGCACCCACCCACACTCAGAGACTGTGTCCCCTCACCCCAGCTGTGTGCTCTGGGGACAGAGCCTGGCCCCATCCCTGGGCTTTGAGGCTTCCATGTTTCAGCAGACCTCAGGGACTGTTTATGCTGCTAAGAACAGGGCAGGATCAGTCCACATCTGCTCTGCCTGGTTCAGAGTCAGCAAGAAAGGGGAAGGAAACACTTTGCGTTGTCACCCTAATTTCTCAAAGGTGTTTTCTAGCTCTGCACACCACCAGGGCATAACCCAGAGCCTCACCCGTTGCCTCAGGTCTGGCGGAGAGGGGACAGCCTTCAGACTGGGTGTTCTGTCTGCCCGGGTCAACCGTCCAGGGCTGACAAAGGCTCTGCTGTGCGCAGGCATCTGTGATAAGAGCTGGGCTGGGCCCCAGCAACACCGAGGGGAGCAAGCGAATGTAAGCCACGCGCTGCCACTCCCCGGGAGATCCAGCCCATGGCTTGTCCCTGCACCCTTCCTGCTTTTGCAAGGAGAAGGAGGGGACTAAAGGGTGTGTTTGCCTGATGGGCTGCATCCTACCAGATTTGCCTCAAAGATGGGGCGCATCAGCTCAGTTTCACTGCACAGCTGCATCCCTGAGCCCCTTTCCCTCC